TGGATGTGCAGCTGACAAATCTGCGGCAACTGTGTGATGCCATCATGTCAATATGGACCAAAATCTCTGAGGAATGCTTCCAGCACCTTGTTGAATCTCTGCCATGAAGAATTGAGGCAGTTCTGAAGGCAAAAGGAGGTCCAACCCGTTACTAGCGTGGTGTACCTAATAAAGTGGCCGGTGAGTGTATGTTTATTAAATAAAGTCTAATGTTACAACTAATCATGGATCCCTTTAAAAATGTAAATACCTCAAAACAACATTTTGTAAGATTGTGATTTCAATTTTTGACGCATTATTTCTATGTGTCAGTTTGTGAAGCTTAAATGCGCAAATAAATCCAGATGGCACAGGCAGTACAGCTAAAAACCCACTAAAACATTAATATTTTTTAAAACCTAAGATGCTCTCTCTCAAATTGATCATTTCACACCGACATGCCAAGAGTCAGACCAACTGCCAAGGACTCCTACATAAAGTAAGGTGCCTCGAGAACACGGAGTCTCAAGATAATATTTAAGTTGAGGTTTCAAAACTCCACAAATTACATGTGCTCAACATCACCCACCTCCAACAGCTTCAAGTATAAACGCGTGCACAACCGTTTGGGCCTGGATGGTGAGGTGAAGAGTGGAAGAGGGACGGGGCACGATATGAGGGTCTTTCCTGAAGGAGACAGAGGTTACACATCAAGGAAAGAGATTTTTTTTAAGTTATTTATGTTTTGCAGTGAAAAAAAAAAAAGAAAAGAAACAACCCTAACCTGGATGGGAATGCAGAAATGATGAGGTGAGGAGCGAGCAGAGTCAGGGAATAGTGAACCACCTCTGGTATGCTTCCCCCGAAGCCGACGTCTCTGTTTCTGAACAAGACTTCCTCCGTGAGCCAAGCCACATCACGACACAGGACAGACATACTCACTCCCTGAGGAGCACGAGAGGAAGATGTTTAATTCCAAAATCAGGCGTGAGCATTAACCATCTGGAGATATTTGTTAGAGACCGGTGGGCAAGACTCAGAAAATCACTGTCACGCTCTACTACACTACCCCCAAAACCAATTTTGTTTGTGAGCCTCTTGGAGTACTGATGGATATTTAGAGGGGCAGAGGCGGATTTTAACACCAAAAGCAGAAAGTAAGGGGGAATTTTTTTCTTTCCATCCTTTTTAGATGACATATGTACCTTGTGATGTCTGTACAGTAGAAGACTGGACACAAGACTTGTGGACATCACAGCCAAGCTGGAGGTTGTCACTAAACAGGCACAAACTCTGAATTAACAAATACAACAAGGTACTATAATATACCTTTGAAACTACAGTTTATGAAGATCCATTTAGGATTCAGAAGGGTTTAACGTGGACCTTGACTCACAGAAGAGGAGGTGAAGGATGACAGCAATGCTCAGGTCTTGATCTGATGGACTCATCTCTTCATGATCAGAAGCATTTAAAGGCAGAAGCCACGACATCCGTCTTTTGCCAAACACACTGTTAGACCTTAAGAGAACAAAGTGAAAAAGTAAAAAACTTTATGTTATGGCAATATTTATTTAACAACAGAGACAGAAATACGTTGGTCCAAGAATGAAGGTACTCCGTGAGATGATCAGCTGAGTTTTATTGCAACAACAGGAAACACAGAGAACGTGGCCTGTCTCTGTGCCTCTCTGTCTGTCTCTCCACACTGCTCACTGTCTAACTCTGTTGCACACTGTGTCTCGAGAGGCCTCATATACAGCATTCTGTCATCTAACATCGTGTGAGAATGAACAACCAATCATAACCTGCCCCATCCTGATACACGGAAATAGGTCAACTTGATGCTGACGTCCGGAAGGATATCACAAGATATGAACAAGTGTTCATATCTTCAGGAACAGGAACAAGTGGTCAGTGTCAAGGTGATACAGAAAATAAGAATTCCACAACACTTTATTATAATGGAAACATTTTCAATAAATATTTCCAACAAATTCATAAATCTCCCCTTAGGACTCAAAATGACCAACTTTCACCTTACTTTCACCTAGAGTAAATGCAGCATGATCCCAAGTTAGTTGGAGATTAAGATGGAGGAAGCTGGATAATTCAGCTCAGATCTGAGAACGTGTGGTAGTAATCCCCTGCAAATCTGAACAACTCACTGAATGAGGTCATTTCAAACCAGGGGGGGGGGGGGGCACAAAGAAAAAACAGGATTGTCTTTGAGCTGGAGCTAAATTCAAACGCTGGAAAACTTGCTGTCATGCAGAGGGGTGATTTTCTTTACCCCTCATCATACAAGTTCTTTTAATGTTGTTACATCAGCAGCTACGTGGCTGTATTTCTCACAAAGCAGCTGTTAAACAAGTGTTTGGTGGGCTGCGCACGCTCTTACTACGGTAACCCCAGCTGTCGTCAACCAGGATAGAAATTTGTGTGAACGCACAGAAAATATTTACTGTAGACCTGAAGCCATCAGAACATGTCACTATGAACTCAAATTTAAAAAAAACTTTGCTGAAAAGCAAAATTTGAAGGCATACACTGATGAAATGCATGAACATAAAAACCGTTGCAGGTGCATCACTCAGCACTTGATGTGTGTTTGATCAAGTGAAACTTCTGTGGGGCGATGCAGGCACAACATGAGTAATATTTATACATCTCAGCTCTGCATGTGCTCCGGAGAGATAGGCAGACGAATATCAGAGTGTTGAATGTAGCTTTGCTGATCCACAGGGTTTACCACCTTTGTAAATAAATATCTGCACATGATTTTTAATTTTATTGATCCACTAATGCATTCTCTGTGCGTTTTAAAATGTTGAAATCATAACTTCAACAGCTAATACCTTAAAAGGGATAGTTCAGTTATTTTAAATTAGTGTTTAGTTGAAAAGTTATGAGCTAATAATACACCCCTGATCAAAATCTTAAGACCAGTCAAAAAAGTGCAAGAATTTGCATTTTGCACTATTGGATCTTAAGAAGGTTCTAAGTAGAGCTTCACAATGTTAAAAGAAGAAATCAGCGTAAGAGACAAGAACTTTTGAGCAGGGAATTTTCTGAAAACTGCATTTACACTCAAACATGATTTTTTCAGCTGATCAAAAGTTTAAGACCATAGTCTTTAAAAGCCAAAAGCTGTGCAAAAATCTGGATTCCATGTCATTTTCTGTCAAGTCTTTACACTGTCAAGACCTCCTGATGGCAAAAGTAAAAAAGCTCACTGACTTTGAACGTGGTAGGATTGTTGAGCTGAATAAGCAAGGCCTCTCACAACATGCCATCTCTGCTGAAGTTGGACGCAGTAAGACAGTCATTTTGCATTTTTTAAATGATCCTGAGGGTTATGGAACAAAAAAGTCAAGTGGTAGACCCAAAAAAATTCACCAGCTCTGAGCCGCAGGATCCGATTGGCTGTCYGTCAAGACACGGGACGACCCTCTACCCAAATTAAGGCCATTACTGGTGCTGACTGCAGCTCAATAACCATCAGACGGCATCTGTGAGAGAAGGGCTTCAGAAACAAAAAAAACGTCTTCAAAGGCCACGTCTTCTTCAACGCCACAAAATTGCCCGTTTGGACTTTGCAAGGGTGCACCAAACATGGGACATTGAAAGGTGGAAGAAAGTTGTCTTCTCTGATGAGAAAAAATTTAACTTTGATGGTCCTGATGTCTTCCAACGTTACTGGCATGACAAGGAGATGCCACCTGAGATGTTTTCTACATGGCACAGTGGTGGGGGTGCCATCATGATTTGGGGTGCGTTTTCCTTCAACGGAACAATGGAGCTTCAGGTTGTGCAGGGGCATCAAACAGCAGCTGGCTATGTGGAGATGTTGCAGCGGGCATCCCTCATGACTGAGGGCCCTCGTCTGTGTGGTAATGATTGGGTTTTTCAACAGGACAATGCTGCAGTTCACAATGCCCGCCTGACAAAGGAGTTCTTCCAAGAGAATAACATCACTCTTTTGGACCATCCTGCATGTTCCCCGGATCTAAACCCAACTGAGAACATTTGGGGATGGATGGCAAGGGAAGTTTACAAAAATGGACATCAGTTCCAGGCAGTGGATGCCCTTCGTGAAGCCATCTTCAACACTTGGAGCAACGTTCCCACTAGCCTCCTGGAAACACTGGCATCAAGCATGCCTAAATGATTGTTTGAAGTCATCAACAAGAATGGTGGAGCTACTCATTACTGAGTCCTTTTTTTGACACTTTGATTTCCGTTTTGGGGGGTTTTCAGGTTTTTTTTTTGAGCTATGGTCTTAAACTTTTGATCAGCTGAAAAAATCATGTTTGAGCGTAAACGCAGTTTTCAGAAAATTCCCTGCTCAAAAGTTCTTGTCTCTTGCACTTATTTCTTCTTTTAACATTGTGAAGCTCTACTTAGAACCTTCTTAAGATCCAAAAGTGTAAAATGCAAATTCTTGCACTTTTTTGACTGGTCTTAAGATTTTGATTAGGAGTGTATCTTACCTGCTGTAGATAAATCCTTTCATCAAACTCTTTGCAAAAAAAAAAAGTTAACTTTGGATTTGRTTGAAGAGCTGTTAAGATCCACTACAGTTTTGGACCCAATTTGGTCAGAAATAATCTCTATTTCTTTGAATTGTTGAGGTCATTCAAAGATCTGTTTTCAACAGATAAGATAATAATTGGAACTTTGATTCATAAGATCTGAGCTATTGCTTTAATTGGCAGAAGCAAGTATCACAGTGTGGTATTAAGTAAGAAATGAATGGAGGTCTAACTGTGCTCACATGCTGGTAACAATCCAATCTCATCACTATTCTTTACCTCTTTTTTTTTAAACTCAATCTATTGCCATATTTTTACTGAAACCATTTGTCGGCAAGCCCCTCTCTGAGACGAATGAACATATGATGGGAGAAGCCACGTTGCTCGTTAGGTGCCAAGCAGAGATTGAGCGGGGGATGTTGTTTTCTTTCTGTTATCTCTTTCACTGGCAGACTGTAATGTCGATGGTAATTGGACCGAGTCTAAGAGGATGAAAATCTCATCAGGGCTTGCATCACTTCTGTGCCAAATTTAAGGTTTAGACAAAAGTTCTCCAAAGTTTAAGAGAAAGGAACTTTTCAATTTCACAGATATTAGACACAACAAAACCCAGCTGTAAATCCCACTGTAGTTCGTTCACATCCGGTTTACACACTCGCTTGTGCGTGGAGGTGAGCACACAGGTGGTTTAATTACCTGTCGTTGAGGATAACAGGCAGCAACAGGTCCTGTAGAGGGAGCCATTCATCTACTCTGCACCTCCCGGACTCACACATCTCCTACGAACACACAAAACAAGATAAATGTACAGTCGTGCATTCATCCAAGAGCTGAAAAGCAGCGGCTCCAAATCATTTAATGCTGATGTTTTAGTTGGCTGAGTTTAAAGTAGTAGCGAAAGTTTATTTTTGATCCCTTTTGTAAAAGCCCTCTGCTCAATTATTAACAAAATATTATGTTTCTAGGTTATTAGTTACATCAATCAAAAAATAATATAGCTCACGAAAGCTACCCGATAATAAATTCTGCTTTCAGGAAGGTTAGAACTTCTAAGTTGCTGGAAAGACATTGATTCAACTTTTAATCACTTTAGTGGAAGATGTTTGTGATTTATTTAGCAAAGCTTGCAATGCCTCTATTTTGCTTAATGTAATATGCCTCCACTCAAGTGCACCGAAATGCATTTTTATGGGTCAAAAGAGGATTTGATTAAGGGTAAAACTTTAACAAATTCACATTTTCAACACTCATTTGTAAAAGCACATTTACTTGGACCACATCTAAAGGTCAGGGTGATTTATGACCGGGCTTATTGTTTGTCATCTTAGAGAATGTAAATCTAAAGGCACCTTGTCAGCGGGCCAAGACGACAATTTAAAAATCTGAATGCATGAATAAAAGTCTTCTTCCCTATCAGCAATTAAAGAATATATTTTTACAATCTAGTGAAAGAAAGACTATAAACTTTCATTCTATGAACATAAACTGATGATGTTTATATATTGTATATATATATTTATTTGGGGATTTCTTTATTGCAGGTAGTGTATAGCAGTGGTGCACCTTAAGAGAAAAGGGCTGCGCCAAGTCGATCCTCACACTTCCTTCTGGTTTCTTCCAAAAGGTGGACAACAGCTGCAGCAACACAGATCTCAAGCCAACCTGTTTAAATATATGACATTTGCAGTCATTACATCCTTTCAGGAGGGACATATACCAAAATCACCAATGAACAAGATGTATGCGAGGCACTGAGATAAACAGCTAGTCCCTGAGTGTGTGTGTGTATGACTGCAGGAACTGTGTGTTCTGTAATTTATGTGTGCCGTGTCTGAATGACGGAACAAAATGATGGGGTGAGGACCTTATTATTGCAATTAACAGAGAGCAACACCCACTCTACAGTAAAGTCTCAAAGAGCAAATAACAGAGGGCAGCTTTTATGGTGACTAATAATGAATAATAGCCATCAATGATGCCGTGAAAAAAAAAAAGATGTGCAAACCTTAGCTGATCAGCCAGTGCTGGTCAGAAATTAGAGTGCAAACCTCTGAGAGGCTCTAAAAGCTGCAGCATCAATGGAATTGTTTTTCCTCCAAACCTTAATGTGATACTACTAACCCCCTGTGGGACAATCCTGAGAGAAGTGTGTCCTCATCACAAACATTTTGAGTGAAATGCGTGTTGAGTTGTGTGGAAGGGGAAAAACAAAGCTGGTAGAGATGACCTCTGTCGTAAAGCTTTTTAGAGGACCATTATTCATTCATCCAGTCTTTTGGAGGATGAAGCATATTGGTATTATAGATGGAGAGGATCTTCACCTTTACCACACTGCTATGAATATGCAGTGCTCTAAGTAAATAAAACCCTCAAAGTTAAGCTCAAGTGGTGCAAACACCCACCTCGACCATATGGCTGACACACAAAAAAAGGAGTTTTGATGGTAAGAAAATGCTAATCTAAATTGATAGTCCTGTCAGATTTATACTTCGAGGCTTTTATAAGATTTTTTCCTTATTTATGTAAAATAGATGCACTTTTACCAGAATTTCTTGGCAGAATTATACATGTTTACTGACAATAAATATAAATATGCACGAAATGCATGACTAACTAAATTCAGAGAAATAATATGTGAACAAGGTCTCTCTGTTCATAAGTAACTCAGTGAGTTATGACTCTGATGTTCAGGATGGAAATTGCCAAATTCAGTTTTTTTAGATGTTGAGCTGAAGCTAAACTAAGCTGAGCTGAGCTGAGTTGAGTTGAGATGAGATGAGATGAGATGAGATGAGATGAGATAGACGTCCTGATGCATCTCAGTAATCCAGGTAAAAAAATCTAAAAGAAAAAAAAGGCTGGGCTTAAAAGCCTGAATTTTGCCTGAAACTCTCCTGAAGTTTCTGAAACTCTCCTGAAGTGCCTGAAGAAGTCTCTTGGAGAAGAGACGAAACATTTCATTAGAGAAGAACCTGTCCAGAAGACATACACAATTTTTTTCTAGTTGAGATAGACCTTTATTGTCATTGTACAGAGCACAATGAAATTACAGTTCAGAACACCCATTCAGAAGAGCAGAACATAACAAACATAGGAGAACAGGCGCCCTGGGTCATGCAGCCACAGACCCCTGCACAGAGCAAGGATCATCTTCATGAAGACACCAAGAGGAGGCGCAACCCTTAAAAAAAAACTAAAAACCGCACAAGGGAAGATGTGGAGGAAAAAAAACCCTCACACTTCACACTCAACATTTGTGTTGCAGCTGTTTACGTTTGATAAACAAGCCAAATCAGTTAACCAAACTATCATAACTGACCTCCTGTTGGTAAATGAACACCAACACAAACTTGATCTCTTCCCTTCATGCAATATCTCTTGCCTCACATTTCCTTCTTTCACAGTTTGAAAACCTAAATCTGCTCAGTTGCTCTTGAGGGCAAAACAGTGACAGATGGCTCCTATTAAGTGTGTGTTCGCACGTGTGTGTGTGTGTGTGTGTGTGTTTTTACACGCAGGCACCTGTACGTTGGTCTTGGTCACACAGTCGTAGGAGATGCCCACAGGGACCAGACTGACATCAGGGACAGATCCCTCTTTGATGAGCTGCCTGATGCGAGCCAGCCACCGGCCGCACAGGCCAGACTCCGCTGACACACCAACACTTAACACCTGACCCTCATGTAGCAGCTCACGTATCAGCTGAGCAGGAGGAGAGAAGATGGCGAAAGGTTGGACGAATCCAGGCAGAAGGAGATCAGTTAACACACAATACACGCCGTGCACTTTATACACAAACAGAATTGTAAATTAGCCATCAAAGGAAATACAAAGAGGCAGGGATAAAGATGGACGACAAGTTAAAATGTAAGGAGCAGGATAAAGAGCATGAGAGGGGGGCACACTTTATGACATTCAAAGATACTTCCCTTGCCTCGAGTACTGTTTTACCCTTACAGACAAGGAAAATTCAATTACCATTGAACAGCAGCTAAGCAGGCCCACACTCAATAAACAATAAAGGTCTATTAACATTGAAATACAGCCGACAAACAGGATTGCCTTCTCACGCAAAGCCAATATGCTTACCCACATACAGCAGGTAAAATAAGTATTGAACACATCAACATTTTTCTCAGTAAATATATTACTAGAGGTGCTAATGACATGAAATTTTCACCAGATGTCGGTAACAACCCAAGTGATCCATACATACAAAGAAATCAAACCATAAATGTCCAGAAATGAAGTTATTTGTAATAATGTGGAATGGCACAGGGAAAAAGTATTGAGCACATGAAGAAAGGGAGGTGTAAAAAGGCATGGAAAGCCAAGACACCAGCTGAACTCTCTCTGTAATTAGAAAGCAAGCCTGCCCCTTGTCAGTGCAAGTTAATATCAGCTGGTTCAGTCCCAAATGATGGCCAGGTATCACACAAGAACCATCTGATGATGGGTAAAAGTAAAGAGCTCTCTCAAGACCTTCACAACCTTATTGTTGCAAAGCCTAATGATGGCATCGGTTACAGAAGAATGTCTAAACTTCTGAAGGTTCCAGTGAGCACTGCTGGGGCCATAATTCAGAAATGGAAAGAACATTATTTCACCATTAACCGACCATGACCAGGTGCTCCTCACAAGATTTCTGACAGAGGAGTGAAAAGAATGATCAGAAGAGTTGTCCAAGAGCCAAGGACCACTTGTGGAGAGCTTCAGAAAGACCTGGAATTAGCAGGTACGACTGTTTCAAAGAAAACAATAAGTAATGCACTGAACCACCATGGCCTGTATGCACGCTCACCATGCAAGACTCCACTGCTGAAGAAACAGCATGTTGAAGCTCCTTTAAAGTTTGCTGCACAACATTTAGACAAGCCTGTGTAATACTGGGAGAATATAGTCTGGTCAGATGAGACCAACATTGAACTGTTTGGATGCCAGAATACACATCATGTTTGGAGGTCAAATGGCACTGCACATCAGCCCAAAAACACCATACCAAAAGTGAAGTTTGGAGGTGGGAACATCATGGTGTGGGGCTGTTTTTCAGCATATGGTACTGGCAAACTTCAAATAATTGAAGGAAGGATGAATGGAAAAATGTACAGAGACATTATTGATAAAAAATCTGCTTCCATCTACCAGGATGATGAAGATGAAACGTGGCTGGACATTTCAGCARGACAATGAGCCCAAACACAAAGCCAAGGAAACTCTCAGTTGGTTTCAGAGAAAGAAACTAAAGCTGCTGGAATGGCCCAGCCAATCACCTGACCTGAATCCAACAGAAAATCTATGGAAAGAACTAAAGACCAGAGTTCATAGAAGAGGTCCACGAAACCTTTAAGATTTGAAGACTATTTGTGGAAGAATGGGCTAAAATCACACCTGAGCAATGCATGCCACTAGTTTCTCCATTCAGGAGGCATCTTGAAGCTGTCATTGACAACAAAGGCTTTTGTACAAAGTATTAGATAAATTTCAGTAAGTGTGTTCAACACTTTTTCCCTGTGCCGTTCCACATTATTACAAATAACTTCATTTCTGGACATTTATGGTTTGATTTCTTTGTATGTATGGATCACTTGGGTTGTTACCAACATCTGGTGAAAATTTCATGTCATTAGCACCTCTAGTAATATATTTACTGAGAAAAATGTTGACGTGTTCAATACTTATTTTACCCGTTGTAAATGATCGAGGAATGACTGAATAGAACTGAAATAGATATATAAATAAAAAAGCGGTTTTACTAGTACATAGGCTTTCTATGAACTATTGTGCCTGTATTCTTTTATAACATCAAACTAGGCTGTTTTTAGATCTGTATGGCAGAATATTGATCATTAAAAAAGCTTGTACCTCCTTAAAATGATACAAATTTTCAGAAAAACTGATGCAACAAAAAAGCTTACAAGGAGGCAGTCATTATTTATTATAAATAGAGGCTAATAGAGACTAAAAGCACTAAAAAAGGTCCTCAGTGACATCTGTAAAAGATTCAAGAGAGAAGATGGAACAAATGAAACTCATGACAAATTTCAAAATAAGAGCAAAAAAATTTTTAAAAAGAAAAGACAACCTGCGCAGACATGCCAAGCAAACCCAATCACACTAACCACCACTCTTCTCATTTCTCCTCCCAGTTCTCATCACTTTGTCTTGTCAGCTCCAAAAGTGAGATCTCTGTAGCAAAACACAAGCCGCTTGGTAATTTCAAGAATGAATAGAAAGTGGGATGAGGCTGGGGAATGAGGGAGAGCAGGAAAACGAAGGGCTGTATTGTGATTGAGAAGTTGACTGTGATAACACTCCAACGTCGAGTGCAATGTAAAGTATCTGTTAGTGTGAGCTGAACTGAAAACAGATAAACAGGTGAAAAAAATAATGACATGTCTTGGTGGCACTGCTTACCCTGCAATTTTATATAATTACTTGCAGATTCTCTTCCTATTTTATTTTTTTAGGCAGAATTTATAAAAAAAAAAATTTCATTCAGGTCCTTTCGCCTCATTTCTGATTTCACATAAATAAAAAGCAGCTTTTACAACGAAAGCATTTATTGCCTGGTGACAATATGAAATAACTTCATAATGGCTCAATAAAGCCCATCTCCACCATCGCGCTTGTATGCGGTTCGGCCTCGGATGAATGTGTCTCTATTAGGTTCCAACCACACTCACCCGTGCTGTTCTCCGGTGGTTCTAAGCAGGTAGAAGCAAGTTCAGTACGCTTATGACTTTGACATCAGCAGAACGCTGCCATGGATTATCTTTGGGACTGATTGACGGAAGAAAGGCGGAGAGCGCCGCTTTTGTTTTGGAATATGAGCGTGCGGTGTGATACGACGACATGGAGAAAGCAGTAATAAAACCATGGTCTAAAATTTTGGTGATCTTGGGAAATATATAATGAAAATTTAATATCAGCTGGAGATAGCTTTTTGAGCTACATTAGTGTGGAGAACAAAGGCCTTTTCACAAGAGACCTCAGTTTGGGACTTTAAGGTGTCTGATGGCTGCCTCGGTGTGATTTCTGAATGGCTCGAGGAGGGCAGGGGGGCTATCGAAGTCAGCCCACCCCTGATGTGCCTTTGTGCTGCACAGTGAGGCGAAACAGTCGATGTGTGAAAAGACAAGCTTGTGCCGCAGCTCAATAATGTAATGAAGTAATGATATGATAGGTACAAGAAGCCAGTTGCAGGATTAAATAACAAAAAACAGATTTATTAACAAGGGAAAAGCAACTTAGAACGTCTCTTTTGGCTCAGCGAAGCTCGCTTCATTTCTGAAAACAAGTAATGAGTTAAAAATGAACTGTTCATGACCTTTCAACAGAACTTCACTTCAAAAGATCAAAATTTTCTCTTTAAGTTATGAAAACAAATTCTTTATGGACATAATGAATTATTAGGATAGGCCAAGTGAGCAGAGTGATCCATTCAGAAAAAAAATACATAAATATCATAAAAGGCCTTGATATCTAAAGAAAATAACATTGACGGATGACAGCTTCTTTTTCACTGGAAAGAAAAACTCTCCCACAACATTTAGCCAAGTCAAAAACACTCCAGGAGAAAGACGTTACGTTTCAGGTCAGATTTAAAACATAAGACTTCATAACATATCATTAACTGATAAACAGGTGGAGGCAGTGTGATGGCATGAACCTGCGAGGCTCCAAACAAACTTTATTAATGGTGAGATAAGACAGAAGCAAGCGGGTGAATTCTGATAGCTTCTGATATAAATAGCAATCCACCGCCAGGCCAGAAGCAGACAGATGTAGCTAATCTGTTTAGATGGGATTTTAAGTGCAGATAAAAAAATCTAAAACATAACAAACCCAGGAGTTTGAGCTCATAAAATAAGACTATTCAGCTTCAGCTAATTTAGTCACCTGATCTGTATTTAACTTGCTGCAGACAAAATTAAAAGCTTTACAAAACTTTATACTGAACAGAGCTGATGAACTGGAATAAATTAGGATTTTTTTTTACTTTTACCTTTTTTTTACTTCAAGCTACAAATACCTACAAAAACCTCTTTAAAAATATTTCACATTCATGCACTTTGTAGTCATGTTCCATCCAGTTACATGTTAAATTGACTGCATTTAGAGGGCACTTTCAAAGCTTTATTGACCATTCAAGGTTTTTCGACACTAAAATTTGTACTCAACCCAACACACAGAGACTACCCAGTTAGAAGATCAAGGCAAGTATAGGGTTTAATTTCTTGTCTTAGAGCAATTTAACATATTGAGAGGAACATGAATCCATCCATAAACTTGTCTATTAGCAAGTGATTGCTTTACAGCAGCTCCACTGAAATTAAAATTACATTTGAGCCCCTGAGATTTCTAAACTTTCATTCCTCCAATTTAGATGAGACAGCTCAAGAGTCTGTGCTTCGAGACCAAATCTAAGAGAGTTCAGCTTAGATGTGTTAATAAACTGCTGAAATTCCAGGGTTGTTCATCGTAACCACGTGTTTTTCTTGTTAAAATCAAAGACAGCAAAGGGCACGAGGGGTTTCATGATTTATAAAGTGTTAATGTTGTTTTGTTAGCTGGCCCAAGGAAATAAAATATTTAAACTCTTGCCAAGTTAATTCCTTTTTACTTTTGGTGACAAGACATTCATGTTTCATTTTCAGTTCTTCCGACTAAAACGTCTCAAATACGATGAACTGGCACGAAATTTCAGCAATGTCAGACATAATTAAACTGGTAGTTTGATAAATGAGATGAGCTTTGATATACTTTCAGGTTAAAGAGAACTTTGATGAAGTTGTGACAAATCTGTGCATCCACACTTTCTTCCTTCGTTTATCAATCATTTAAAAAAAAGCCGTTAGACTTACAGAAGTCATGACAGCAGAGTACAGAGGGTCCCCTTCAGCTTCGAGCTCAGTCATTGAGGGTGGCAGGAGGACTACACCTATTTTCTGCAGAAGGGATCTGTGGAACAAATGAGGGAGAAGTGTAATAAAGAAGCTTTAAGTAATTTGAGGTTTTAAACTTCATTTGACGAGCCTAAATATGATTATAAAAATCAGCATCTCGTTCCTGGAGTTAAAATAAACTGAACTGTTGTAATGGTAGGTACTTGTTAGTGCAGCTCAACCTGTGTGGCAGTCTGTTTGTGGGAATGTGTGTGCATGAATCTACCTTAAGAAGCAGCTCTGGACCTGCAGAGGGCAGAGAGTGTACGGTACTCTCAGACTGTGACAGAAGAGCACGAGCGGGATGAGAGAGCAGTCCATGGCATTCTGACGCACATACACATAAACCAGTGGAGTGCCCTAGATCAAACAAACAGCAAGAATCACTAGAATGACATCTACAAGTTTTAAACTCAACCCAGTTCAAGAATGCCGCCACAGCCGATCAACCATAGCCAATATAACAAAGGCTATTACTCACTTTGATATTTTTTTAACAAAAACATAGTCTCTTCAGTGGATTAGCGATAAGAGTCTATCATCCCTAAAAATATCATATGATCACATTTTTTGTCTCATTTAGTCATTTCTGAAAAGGAATAAAATCGTGGACAATTCAGCCACAAAATAAAAAGGCAAACAGAGCTGCTGTGATTGGATCAACATCTAAATTAGTTTTCAAAGCACTTCTTTGTCTTTCTGGCTTCACAAATCAAGATGAAAATCCTTATCACTCTGGAAAGATGTGACAAATCCTAGATGTACCCTGACAACTGGCTGACAATCAAAACTAAACGYGTCACCCACATATTTTTTGCTGGTTTGTCCTTCACCACATATTGCATTCAGTGAGATCAAGGCAGAAAAAGATCACAACCAAACTTATTCATGCCCATTTTGCGACTCTGCAACATCAGCCCAACTCATTTCCCTTTATCTATTTAGTCAACCATGTAATTAAGAGTTGTGTACAATTCAGTTAAAAAAGGGAAAATTAATTAAGTTTTACGAGAGAAGATGAACTTTTAAAAAGTTTTTAGATCTTTTAACATATTGCATCACTTCAGTAAAACTATTTACAAATTTGTACTTTTCTTGCTTTGCAGTGGATAAATAAAAACAACCCTGCCACTGTTTACAGAAAAGCCTAATTTCACACCYTAAGCGAGGATGATTATAGAAGTGTGCTAATAAATAGTAGTATCTGTGTTTCACAGGACGAGCTGACACAGTTTCAGACACATTTAATCATGTGTGAATCTTGTATCCAAAAGAGGCAAAAGTGTGTGTTTATAAACCTTCATACCTCCTGGGAAGCTTTGTGTAAAGCTGGTAGATGATTGAGGTTAACCTGGATACTTCCAAACACAGACGCAAACAGCTTCAAAATCACCCAGCTTAGGAACCTGCAGAAACAATGTGTAGAAAATAATGAGTGTAGATAACAATAATTAAAATGAAGACAATCCACACAAAAGTAACAAACAAACAATGCAGCCAAGAGAAAAAGCTGCCCATTATTTAAGTAAGCAAAACGTAGCTTTAATAAAAGTGAGAATTGGGTTCAGCCAGCCAACATGTAAACGAGATAGATGGGAGTGAGAAAGTGAGGAGAAACGGGATGAGTGATGACATGGGGAGGAGGCAAAGCGGAAAGCGATAAAAAAGGAAGGGGTGTGCGACTGACAGCTGCAGATAGAGACAAAGGTCGTAGCTGCAAATGAGGGAGAGAAGAGGAGAGGAGAGGAGAAATAGGGAAGAGAGAGATTCTGAAAAGAGATTTGTTAGGCCACAAGAAAGCCTCGAGACTTTCTTTGAAAGAAGAAGAAGAAGAAAAATGAGAAGTTTCAGCTCTATTTCATCACACATTTACAGAATTTTCAACACAGTGTCTATGAATGAACAGACCTGAAAAATTCATGGCACACAGATTTACTTTTAAAATATCACTTGTCAATGCTCCTGGACAGGTTGGTGCCTCAACAGCCGTCATCTTGACAAGCCTGATGAATGACCGATGAAGTGTGTGTGTGTTGAAAACATCGCTCAGCTTTTACTACCACATCAAATTTCAGTTCAATATCTTTCACCCAAATATTCTTAAAAGAAAAAGTAACGTTACGTAAAAACTGCATCCATGAATAAATCTGTCTGAAATATCAGATTAAAAGTCAAAATTGAAAATCTGTTTATATCAAAACATTCTGGTTATAAAAACCACTTGATCACTCATGTTTTTTTTATACTTGATCACAGATCCTKCAAAAAATCGCTTAGTGATTCCAATTTCTACATTTATCAGGTTGTCTTTTTCATTTATTTTACAAATTCAGAGCACTATTATTTCTAGCCTGAAGAGATGATTCCCCTAAAGCCTCTTCTCCATAGCAACTACTGCAGCAGCTTATGGCTATCATCAATTAATACTACAAAAATACAGAAGGCAACAATGTGACAATCAATATTCTTTTTTTAAATAAAAACATCTATTTAATCAACTAACAAGGCTTAACATTTGCTGCATTTGTTGGGGAACATTTTCAAATCAGGTTGTGAGGTCTTCAAAGTATTTTAAGTACAAGGACTCAGTTTTATTCAATGTTATCCTTGTTCATTGGGAAAAAAAAAAAAGAGTCATATTAACATGTTTTTAACAGCACTGGTCAGTAATTGAGCTTATTAACAAAAGCAAAACGCACCTACACTAACTGCATTTTTAAGAAAAGTGAATTATAAATTATTTATTGTTTGATAAATGAACAACAAAGCACACTGTAAAAAAAGAAATGTTGGATTTACTTAACCATGTTGTGTTACCTGGTTCCACTTAACTGAGTTGAGTAAATTCAAAGCAATATACCAGTTTTTTAGCCAAAGAACATTAGTATGTTGCTTTGAATTTACTCAAATCAGTTAAGTGGAACCAGGTAACATAACATAGTTAAGTAAATCCAACATTTCATTTTTAGAGTGCATATTTTTGAGCCTTTTGTTACCCAGCTGTCTCACAGTCACACACAAAAACAAACACAAACACACAGACCTTAAGAGGCGAGGAGAAACGCAGGTGTTAATGAGGGGGAGGAACTTTGAAAGAAGACTGAACTGCCCTCGGCTATCTTTCCCCTCAAGTGCTTTGTGATCTGCTGCAAGTGCCTTCTTCACCCTGAAATGCACGGTCACAGGATAGCAGGGTTAAGACAGCACAAAGCCTCATTTGTGTTGCACTTACACAAACATCCGCCTTCCAGCAASATGACAACATGAGTAGCACCCCTGAATGACATGGATACGTAAAGCTTAAACTCAATTACATGTAAGGAGGGAAAAACAACAGATACTGAGGACTCAATGGCAGCGATAGGCAAAGTGTGAACAACATCTGAAGTCATCATTTCTTCTTTTCGTTCACTCTGCACAGAACTGTTGATAGGCTCCATTTTCTGTTTCTTTGTTTGTCTTTCTTATCTTTACAGTCTTTTTCTCCGCCTCACATTAGAGCCGTGGCAGCCAGTTTCATTTTCGGTATCTCTGCCTATCGTTTATTTACACTCCTCCGGCATCTCTACACCTGTCCCGCCCCCCACTCCTCCCCTCCCACTCTTTCCCCTCAGGTACCTGTTGCTCTGACAGACTCTCTCCAACCTGTCGCTAGCAGGACTCCCGTAAACCTTGCACCCACTCACAAACAAGGCACAGCAAACCCTTCGCACCAGCCAGCCTCGATATCTGGAAAAAACAAAACACAAAAAAAAAGACAGCATTCAAATAATCTTGCGTGTGTGTGTGTGTGTGTGTGTGTGTGTGTGTGTGTGTGTGACTTTGTACCTACCTGGTTTGTCTCTCGTTGACACTCAGCAGGTTACGGAAGCCAGGAAATGAGTTTTGTCCCACCTTTTTGCGCTAATCAGTGACAAAAATATAATTGTGTCAACAGATTCAAACACCACAAAACTGACAAAAGATTATATTTATTGTTTTATTATTTGGCAGACACTAAAACTGACTCCAGGGCAGTAGGTTTCTAAAATTACTGAAGCAACAAAGTCTGTAAACAAACTCGGCAAAGTCGCTATCCAGAAGTCTTGAGGAATAAAAATAAGATAAAGGTGATAATTCACCCTGGGACCTCTTAACGTTCAGTCTAGTTTTCTACCTTTCCTTTTCTTGCCCTCTGTGCTGCCCACTTACCAGACTGTCTGGAGTGCACTGGTGACAACACTGGCCCACAGCAGGTCTGAACTTGCCCAGAAAGGAAGGCACGATCTTCACCTTTTTCTTGATCTTCAATTCCCATGACAACTGACAGGGATGGAAACAGAGTTATCACACATTTTCAGTACATACAGACAAACGGACTGAAAGTAAACCAACCTTTTGATATTTAGAATGGCTCACAACTACAAAACACATTTTTAGAAAACAAATAAGACAAAAAAAACATTGCAGTTTGACAGAAATTGTAGGGGCATCAGATCTTGCATTTAACTGAGGAACCAATGCATTTCGACAGGTTGATGGCATATTTTTTTCTGGTGTGTACCCTATTTTATTTTATTTTTTAAGAACAGGGTTATTTTGTGTGATCTGTTTTTTACTTCCTGTACAAAACCTTTCTTGGCTTCATTTAGATTCTTTATAAATTAAGAATGCATTCGAATACTAACACGAAGTAACAGGGAGAATTAGAAGTTAGATGTAAATCACAAAAAGTTAAATCTAAAAAAACAGCTTACAATTGTCAACGAGGTGATTACGTTTCAAGGCAGAACTTTAAAATACAGAAGCTTTTTTTAATATATATATTTATTGAGTTTTCAAAAAACAACWTAYATAAATCATACASMAGAGTATGAAGCATATACAAATTTAACRAATTACTGCATAAGAAAAATATACTCTTACYAAYACAACAATACAAATAAAAACATACAATAACTAAAAGTAAAATAAAATAAAATAARAGCAAGTCAAGGCAATTATCTAAGTAACTGAATACACTGCACTGGTTAAAATATAGAAGCTTTTCTCTTACACACAGAGCTTTGGTTTTTACAAATACTTATTTGAATTTGTGTATATAAAGCCTTCAAGGATGACATTCTCGACTATGAGGGAAATAGGAGTACTGTAAGCTGTCATTTTCTTGAAAGAAATTTTTTGTTAAAAAATATACACTTTTAAGGTTTTAAAAGTATGCTTTTTCAAAYGTGGTTGAACACCTATAGTTTACAGTAGAGACAGCAAATCTGCCAGTCATCATTGATCTTTATTTTTATTACATTCTACTAAACTTCACATTTTTTCCTTGTATGGCATGTAAAAATTAATAAATTAATATTGTGTCATCATTATGAGTTCTTTAAGTTGTTGATTTGATAGATTATAATCTTACAATCTCAGCATGCAGTAAGTGGAATAGCAGTGAATGTCAATCTAAGTTCTGATTACAAGTGTGGTGCATTCAGAACATATAACCAAACAGATCACGCACTCAAAAGGCTAGAATATGAACTATTTACTGATAAACCAGATTTTAGGTCACCTGTAGTGACCTGACTACTTGTCAATTGTACACACATTTGTTTTACAGTAAAACAGAAACTGAATGATAGAATGTGTTGCTTAGTGTGTGGCATTAGCTTGGCTGGTTCGAGGTTAGACTGATTATCTCTTTTATACAAAATAAGCTAATGAATCTCCTAAAATATATGTCTGTTTGACTGACAAAGATGAATTCAAGACCAGACTCTGTCAGGTCTATTGAACAATAAAAAAAGCTTATTTAAATATCAATCATTTAAAATCATCAAACGAGTTCAGAGCACGAGTATAAAGACAAGAGGGAGGAGGAGAAACAATGAATGATTCAAGTGTGTAGGCAAAGTTTTAGTATTCATGCGGTATTTAGTAATCCTTTGGAAATTGTGCTCATTTTCTGACAGGCTGGCGTGACTCATTGATGCATCATATTCTCTGATTTGGTAAGCATCAAACAGAATTAAGCACAGGAGGCCATGCATGTTCTTTAGTGATTGTGAGGAACAAAACGTTTGAGATTAGTGCACACAGAGGAAAAGGACAGTGGGAGAGAGGGAAGCAAGCAGAGTTCTTACAGCTGGTCTTTTCTGCTGAATCGGTGGAAGGCTCATGTTGTTGTTTATCCCATCATTTTTCTCCTGCACCATAATGAGGCCCCTGTAGATTTACACCCAGAAACCTATCTGGAAAAAGATTAGGAGAATTATAAAAATTATTATGGGGTGTCATGTTTAATACTGCGCTTTCACACATTGTGATTGGTATAAAGCAAATGTAAGACTATTTTTTAGCTTTAAGACAAAAGGACAGATTTAGAGCATTATCAGAAGACACAGGAGGGAAATGCCTTGTGTTCTCTAATTTAGGAAAATAAACCATAACACATACTCCTGTTTTTAAATCTCACTAACGTGTGGTCTTTGGTAGAATACCCACAGATACAATTTCACATATCTAAACAACCTATTTCCACATTATCTAAAAAGTTGTTCAATTTATAACCTGCTTTTCATTTATTTGAGCTTAACTTTTTTGATGATGGTTCAATCACCTTTGGTTTCTCATTGTGCCATTTAGCAGATTGTGGCAAACTTTTTTTGAAAAGTTTGGTTCCAACTTTTGTTTGAGTTAAACAAGGGAACAATTGCTATTAGGAGGTTAGAGATGGAGGGCAACTTGTCTTTGCTCAACAACATACAGGGGGGGACAGGGCGCTTGCTAGTGGGTGATTAAAAAACAAGCCCTAAGCTGAGAAAAGCTCCTATTTAACTGGAGCCTTGCATTAATGAGTGCTGTAACATACTATTTGGTCAAGAGGCAACACATTCAAGTTTAAACAGGTTATCTAATTGATAGTACTGGCTGTGCTGATCCTCGGGTGAGTAATCATCCAAAATTAAAGGTAGATTCACTGCAGAGCAAGGAAAGGGTCTGCTGATCCCTGAGGAAATAAAGCCAGCACAAAAGCCTTTATCTTTAGAGAGAATTCCCTTTGGTCTTTGTAGAGCTTTGTTTCTACTACAAAAGGATGAAGATGTGTCCTGATGACATCAGTTCTCTTCAAATATATACTTCTGAGTCTTCATCCATCAGATCCAGGAAACTCATTAGGCTCAGGAGACACTTCTTTTGCATCACTGTCTCTCCCTCAGCTGATCGCACGCTGCCCCATTAACTTTGCTAATTAAAACTTAAGCTTTACCCATGGGGAGATGCTCCACTTCAACCAGCTCTAAGTTCCCACATTCATTACCCAGTCTGGTGGGAACAGAGACATTGATAAGGAGTTCCCAGGGCTCTGTGATGCTTCACAGGTATGCTGGGTAATAGAGGGGATGAGGTGGTAAAAAGGGAGATAAAGGATGTAAAACAACGAATTAAAAAGTCAAATAATCACCAGAGGCTATGATGGAGTTATGTAAGACAGTCGGCAGAGAATAAAAAAAAAACATAGGAGTATGCCGAGGTCATAATGATGGGAAAATGAGCCCAATTTGCATTATCTATGAACTCTTACCTTTCAATTCAAATTATTTGTCTTCACACATGAATATAGTACTCAGTACTTACATTTATACCCCCTGGACTCTTCCTCCTATTGACAAATAATTAATGAAGTACTTTGCTAACTAATAGGCTGTAGTGTACTAATATGATTGTCAGGACTCAAGTGGGCCCATGATGACTAATGATTAAAAAATCAGAGGCCATTACAAGATGCCAGGTCAATTTAAGTGAAGGTAATTTCAAAGCAAGAGTTTTAGCGATGGTGGTTTGTACATGTTCCCAGAATCTGTTCAGTAATCAGTAATCTGGGGGCTTTAAAAACATTTAGCTGTTATTTGAAAAGGATTAACAAAGGAAATATTTAGCAGTTTGAGGATTAAGTTAAGAAGTGAGTATGCATGCAATAAACATGAAAAGCAATCAAGTTTATCAACTATAAAGTTGAGGGTACCGTAATAATTCATGCAGATGGCAAAAATGTGAGAGCAAAAGCAGAATCCCACACAAATAAAAAATATGATAGTGCTAGGAGGGCTTTAAACAGTAACATAAAAATACAAGTGAAACATTTCATTACCTCAATTAAACCACATAAATTACTTTAGAACTACAAGGTATGCACATCACAACCAAGAACACAGACAGTATCATGCCAGAAGAAGTGTTCACAAAGGTAAGCTAGCCAAACATTAGCTAACTACAGCTAAAAACAAAGACAACAATGTATGCAATGAATAACTTCCAACCAACCTAAAACACCTACTTGACTAGCAGCAGTGGAAACGTCTGTCAGTCGTGTTTAATTTGCATGCAGACAAATGAGCTGTTCGTGTCTCCTGAATTAAAAAGACAAAGGGGGTCTCATAGCTGCAGCTTTCTAATTAGCCTAATGACGTGTCAATCAAACTGATGGTAACGCCCAGGAAACAGTTACAAACCACGTTTTCAACCATTTCAATGCTTGAAATTGCTCTAACTCTAAACACTACAGAAAACTAAAGATAAGGGAGGACTAGATCTTCCCAACTTCTACCTCTACTTCATGGCCAACAGATTACAGTGCATC